GAGCCAGTGTCCTTAATAAACTCCATGCCAAACTGTATGAGTGCTTCGTAAAGGGGTTGGCTTTGTTTGTTTGTTTGTTTTTGTTTTTTGTTGTTGGGTTGTTTGGGTGTTTTTTTCTTAGTAAAATTTTGCTTAAATAAAAGACCCAGAATACCTCCAAAGTTATCATTCATTCCAAAAGGTGTTTTGAAAAGGAGTGCAAACTAACACAAAAACTACATTTCCCATAAGCGCCCACAAGGGTCGGCCGTGCGCAGTTCTTTGACGTCTTTCCGAGCCCTTTATATACACTTCCGCCGAGTAGTCATTTCTTTTTCCCTTGGCGGCGCTTGAGCAAAGATGGCGGTGCAGATTTCCAAGAAGAGGAAGGTGAGGTATTGGGGCCCGGGAAACTGGGGGCCCGAGCGCATCAGAGGCCTTTCGAGGTGTTGTCGCGAGGCCTGCAGCTCTGTGCTCTGCGCCTGTAGGTGACTTGAGCCGCTTGCATTCCCGGGGATCGCAGATGGCTCTGGATTGATTGCGGGGCCCCGTCCTGGCCAGCGTCTGCGGGCGCCGGCCGCGGCTGCTGCCGGCGGAATGCATTGGTGTGACATTTCGAAACCTTGAGCAGTTGGCCTCGGCTTGTAGCTTAGCTTTAGAAAGGAGAAATGGCAACAGTGTAATGTAAGCCTGCTTTTTCATTTGGTGGTGTGTGCAGCCTTCTGCTTCGTAGGATCTCATGTGAAAGGCCACGGACAATTTCTTGCTGCATTTGGTGCCCCTGAAGTTGTCATGGGCTAATGTGGAGGGGTCTGTGGGGAGGCAGCCGCGTGAGTGGGAACTGTTCAGCGTTTACGCTTTCCACTGTTAACACGTTGCCGCAGATGACGGCTTTAAGCACGGTCGTCAGTTTAAAAGTGTGCGGCACTGGGTGAGTGAAGTAAGATCACATGGCGGAGAGTCTTCTGAGGTACGATTGAGACCTTGTTACTCTTTAGTTGTTAAAAACATTACTCTGCCGTTTTAGAGCAGTCCTTTGTTTTGCATGTAAATGGCAGTTTAGGAAAGCCATGTTAACAACTGGTAAGAGATGTTGGCATTCATATTAATTATGGAATCCATATAGTTCTGTGTATCTTACTGTGATTCCAGAAACTAGTGTGGGTGTCATGGAAATGTACATTATTTCCAAAGTCGTTTCATTAAAGATGAAAACTTTAAAAAAA